TGTGGACACTGGCAAGAATGTTAGGCAGGGGCTTGGCTGTAGCTGACCTTGAAGGCAGTGATAGCGTGTTTGAACTTTGTTCTGCAGGCAGTGATGTGTTGACCAGAGTATTTGTATTAAAGGGACTAAATCACTTTGTCAACAGTATGAATGATGGAAGAGAAAGATCAGATTCAGGAAGAGAAGTCTGGAAATTTCTAGTAATGTAAACAAGAGATGTTGAAGAAAACTAGACATGGAAAGGAAGAGAGCAATTCTGGAAACACTGTGCAGATGGACATGTCAGAGCATGATCTTGGAGTAAGACCCTGATCTTGGAATCAGAGATTCCAAACTTGAGTCCTTTTCTCAAAGGTGATGGCAGCAGCTCTGGCAGTGGCTAAGGTCACTCAGGAAGAGCACAGATAAAGCAAGCCAGGGGGAGGCCACAGAGCCTTGTGGAGAGCGTAGATTTAAGGGGTAAGTAAATCTTCAGACTTAGAGGAAACGATGTTTCAAACTTGTTTTTAAAATGATAAGGAAGACTTTTTGTCTTTAGAATTAAGTGGTTTGCCTACAGTTTATGGCTGAGCACTTTAGAACCCAGGTGCCCCAACTTAACAACTCAGTGCACTATTAGTTTAATGCTCTAGACTCTAGTTTTATGCTAAATTTAAAAATCCGACCTACCACCTTTCCTGTCCTCATCTATGTTGTTAAAACAGACTAAACTTGAATTTTGGATCTCTTTACATAAATCAGAGTATCTTGTGTCTTTTACGTTTCTAGCTACCAATAGCAAAGAGAAAATTTTGCCCTTGGAAAATACAGTGCAAGCCATCCATATGGATGCCATTTAAAATTATAATGTGTGATATGAATTGATAGTAGGAATTGTAAAAACCTCGTTAAAACATCTACCTTAGGTTTCAAAGGCAGTAAGTTAATCTTATACATTATTACATGTTTTTATATCGTTTATGTTAAAAAAAAACAAAAAACCCTGCTGCATTCTCAACACTGAATTATCCTATTGTCCCCAAATACCTTGCTGTATACATAGTGGAAAGATTTAGCTCAAAGAAGCCAAAACAAATGATTTCATTAGTTTCACAGAAGATTTTGTTGCTATTAATACTGCAGTCTTCTATGGCATATGCCAAAGGTATAGTTTAAAATTCTGTTTTTAACTCAGTGAAATATTTTTACCTCGAAAAGGGAGGCCTAAAAAGAAAGGATATGAAACTTTGATACAGATATTTTAAAAAGCAAGTAAACGATGTGGCCAGTTCTCAGAATAGCATCATCCTTGCTGAACAACAGAACTAAATAATACGTGGATTTTATCATTTGGCTGGAAGAACTGAGCTCTGAAAATGAACCATCACAAGCCATGATTAATAAACTCTTTACAACTCTACTCTGATAAGAGTTAGTTGAAAAATAAGCAGGAGACTATAAATACTAAAAGTTGACGGCCCATACCTAGATAAATATTTTTTCCCACAGAAAGTCGATTTTAACCATTTGTGTTATAGTGAATGATCCTATTGGAATTCTTATATATGGACTTACAGCCTAACCAGAAAGATATGAAGCACACTTTTATATTTGCCTATCATTTTCTAGCATTGAAGTTCCAGGGAAATGGTGGCTTTTTTAATTTTTATTTTTGTTTACTTTGGGCTTTGTTTTTTCTTAAGCATATTTTATTAAATATAATAAATACATAGAAAAGCATGTTTCACAAGTGTACAACTCAATGAGTGTTACAAATTGAATATACCGATGTATCCAGCACCCAGGTGGAGGCACAGACATCTCCAGTCCTTCAGAACCCAACATCATACCCCCTTTCCAGTCAACAGGTACCCCCTTCTCCCACTACAGCTGTTAGGAAACAATTATCATGGGCCTCTGATATTTCTGCTCATCTTGGGAGCAGAAATACTATCTACCTTTGTTCAGAGTATCTTTTCGTGAATAGCCTTGGAAGACAAAAAATAGTGTTTGCCTCCAGAGAAAAGGGCCATTTTGCTCAAGCCTTGAAAAAATAGACCGTCTCTTATTATTGTCTTTTATTACACTGTTTAGTACAACAGGGTATCTCCCTTCGAAGTCAAAGGTAGGCATGTTTACTTGCCATTCTAAAAGACTGAAGTTCCCTAAACTCAGGATTCCTCTCCTATAATGCAATGCACTGTGTGTGCAGGTGTCACCTGGCTTTCTTCATCTTTCATAATTAGGAATTAGGGCTCAAGGAACTGGTGTAATACTGATACAGGCTATTGAGTTGTAAGGTTCTCTGTCTGACTCAGCACCCATTAACTAGGCTGACCAACATACTAGTTCGTAAGCAGGGTAAAATCTCAGACCCTTCACTGCTCTTGGTAGTAATCACTATTCCAACTTCTACCACCATAAATACCTGTGCTTAAAATTCATATATAAATTCAATTACATAGCACATACTCAAATCTGGCTTCTTTCATCCAACCTCATGTTTGTGAAATTCATTCATATTATTGCACGCAGGCATAGTTTTTCATTTCTCATAGTATTCCATTGTATGAATATTTAAAAACTTATTTTTTCTACTAGAGATGGATGCTGGGGCAGGTCCTGCTATTAGAATTATATGCTGTTATAAACAATTCTATGCATGTTTTTGTGAATATATGTATGCATTTCTGTTGGGTATATTCCCAGAGCTGGATCCAGAGGGTGTGCAGAGATAACTGCCAAACAATTTTCTAAAGCATTTGCACCAAGCTAGTCTTCAAATATTGCTAGTGGAACATTCTGGTTTCTCTGTGTGCTTTTCCACCCTTGTTATTTTCCAACTTTTTAGTTTTGTTTTTTCAGACTGACAGGCTTTTATTTTATCAACATGCACATAAGGAAAGATAAATATGGTACACTTCCAATTTTACAGAGCAATCTCACGAGTATTTCTGCTATTTAGGGAAAGAGATTTATCAATTAAGGTATTACACCAAGGTAAATTATCAAGACAATCAGCGCCACAATTTTTTGGTTGGTCATTTTCCCATAAAGACAACAGTATTCAAAGCCTTCAGTCTGACAAGACCAAGTTATTCAGATTATACTTCTAAAGATACAGTTTTAACAGAAAAAAAGTTGAAAACTATTATGAATATTCACATAAGTCTCTATATTGTACAGGAAAGAGACTGACATTCTTCCAAATGTTCCCAACTGAAAGCAAAAGAAAATCTGTACAGCCAAATCTTCCCAGTAAGCAGCAACAGAGAAAGTAATAGGATTTTACTAAATACCAGTGAAATTAAGGGCACAGTATTCATCTTCAACGTATATACGATCACATGAGAACGACAGAAAACACTTAAAGCTGCAATGTTTGCTGACTCTAATACATGCTTTGCCCGAGTGAATGACAGACACCCTTTAGGACCCCATCTCTTAATACTCAAGTTCCAAGAAGCACCCCAGCCAGCCCTAAATTATGATTTCATTTTCTCAAGGAAAAACATGAATAATTGAAAATGAACATGATAGTTTAAATGAAATGCTAACTTCAGTAAAGTGAGTTTTTCATGAGAGTGTGAAATTATGAAAGGAAAAAAAAGCTGCAATGTTTGTATGTCTTTAAAGAACCCTTTTCAGGGCAACATAGTTAATCCTTCAACCACCTTCAATTCTCCCATCCCAATTCTGAGAAAATATTCCTCCTCCCATCACCACTGACAGAGAAGGTATCCCTCAGTCAACCCACTCTTAATTCTAGGCCCATTTTTCCCCTGGCTCATGTCTGCCTCTGGCCTTTTGTTCAGTTTTCCTGTTTGGGGCACCCACCACAGTCTCCATCCATTCATTGCATGTATATCTGTCTTTCTTCCAACCTTCTAGGCATTGCTATAGGCGGGTGAGGGGCTGGGAAGAAAGCAGAGAGGGCATAAGAGTTCTGGTAGTCTCCTTTACAGGACAGCCTCTCCGCCTCTGGAAATGATGTAGTCAGGTTACACGGAAAAGCCTGCTCTTTGCAGCTGTTTCTGAGCTACCACTTTTTTTTTTTTTTAAGAGAAGAGATATGAGACGGAGGAAGGTGAGAGAGATGAGACAGAGAGAGAAAGGGAGGTAAGACAGAGGAACTACAACTACCCTGGCACTGCTGGCACCTTATCACTTTTAGGATGAGGAAGGGAGGCAAATAAAAGTACCTAAATTTGGTATGGCTTCGCTGGTTGAGGCTGAAAAAGCCCAGTACTTGGCAAGGACATCATTGTCCTTGTCATGCAGATAGAGTCTAACTTGTCACCTCAACCACTTGCCTGACAGTAGGGTTCCTGAGTGATGGTGAGGAATTAAAAGTCTTTTAGGGAAAATACAGAGAGGTCTTTTATAGGCTGGTGGCAAACCTGGTTCTACCACCAGTTCTGAAGATCCTTATATACCAAAAACCAGAATGGTCTGGAAAATGTCCGTGCAGCAGGTGGCAGCCTAAGAGGGTGGGCATAGCTTGTAGCAGGCAGCAATAGGTGACCAGAGGAGCAAGAAGAGCAATAGATGCATAAATCACAGAGACCAGTGGCCCATTGCTGCTCTCTTGACTTTATTAATGCCCAGCAGTTGTCCACAGGCCATGTGCATAGCAAAATGAGTAAAACAGACTCTTATTAAACATAGCTAGAAATCCAGGTGGTAATAACTAGACCAGAAGCCTTGGGAACAAACAGGGTCGAAGCAGTGCAGACAAAGGCAGGGCAATCTGTAGCATCGTTCATTTGGCTTAGAAGAGTGTGAGCCACCACCATGGAGCATGTGATGTTAATGCAGAACGTTAATGCAGCATGAAGACCATGTGGAAGTGGAGCAGCACAGCCAGGAAGGTCTCAGTCTAGAAGCTGAGAGAACTCAATGTCCAGAGGAGGGAAGGTACAGAAAGGTCAACACAAAAACAAAGAAAGGAATACCCTTGCTGTTGCCAAGACACAGGTCTGGCAGGGGACTTTGTGTGGGAGCATTCCTAAGAGCAAAGGTTAACCAGATTGGAATCCAAAGGGCCTGGGGCTCTCCACCAGCTCCCTTATCTGATGAAGTCTACCTCTCTGGGCCCCTTCATGCAATAGGTAGTACTGCAGTGGATTTGGCCAGAGGTCCTCTTTGATGATCTTAGCAATCCTGTCAGACTCTGGAAAGCTGTGGTCTAAAAGCCAGGCAAACAAGCTGCATGTGAGGTCTTGGTTCCTAGGATTGAAAGCCGGAGGATCACGGCCCGGGTGCCATATGATCGGAGTGGCAAGAGCCACCACTTGGCCGGAGGGTCTGACTTCATATTCCTTGACAATCAACTTGTTTCTGAAGTATGGGTTTCTTCGAAAGAAGAACTTGAACTTGCAGCCCATCCTAGGGTGTCTGAGCCCCTTCACCTCCAAATTGGTTAAGTACCTGAACATCTCGTCATCCCTGCCTCTAATCAGGGCAGACAGCTGCGGGTGGTTCTGAAAGGCAGTCATCCAGAAGCCGGGGATGTTCTGAATGATGCGGTACCTCCGCTGAAGGTAGTGTCGCCGCATGCGCCCAAACCTGCGCTCTAGCTGGAGGAAGGCCCGGTCAGCCTGAGCGTTCAGAGCGTCCAGTTCCAGCTGGATAGTCTCCAAGGGGTTCACATGGAGACCCTCATTCAGGGCCCGGGGCCCTGCCTCATCCTTCACCACGTTTACGGCTCTGGGTTCCTCCACCGTTTCCACTTCCTCACCCACTGGCTTCTCCTTCCTCTCCTCATCATCCACTACTACAGGGAAGATGGTACCCCTTTCAGTCTTCGCTTCCCTCACCTTCGCCCCAGCCATCAGCTCAGGCTCCGACCTCCCTGTGCCACAGGTTTCTAGGGCCTTCTCCCCACCAGTTCCCCGCTGACATCCATTTCCTAGGCTGCTCTCGGTTGCCACAGGGACAGGGGCTGCTTCCATGCCCTCCGCGGGCGGCATGGCCTCCTCCTGCCCCGCTTTGGCAGCTCCGTGACCGCGACCCCCATTGACCAGGATCTGGGGAGTAGGGCCACAGTCCGCGGGGTCCCGCGGTGCGCACCCCTCCTCCAGAAGCTGGGGTGGTGAGAGTGCGACGATCCCCAAGCTGCCCTCGCCTGTCTCGGTCACCACCTGCCTCACCTCCGCTTCCTCTAGACGCTTCTGGCACTGCTGTGGGTCTGGGTCTTCCAGCGCGTGGTCAGGAACAGGGAACTGGCGGGTCTGGGGGAGAGGGATCCCGTCGACCCCACGCGGGACGCTCATGGTGGTAAAGGAGCCTGACCAGCTGTTTCCTGACGTTTGCTTCTCTCACAAAGACGAACTCAAGCAACCACCACACCCTTCGGATTCGCAACAGCCGTCGTTCGGTCTCGCGATACTTAGCCTTCGGTCTCACGACACCCACTTTTGGGCTCACAAGAAACTATTTCTACGGCTTTTGCCATCTTTTATTTTCACTATTCTGGCGCGTCTGTGATGGACGTGTCTTTTGGTGGTTTTAATCTGCATTTACCTAATGTCTAATGGATTGGGAACCTTTTCATGTAGTTTTGATTTCCCCATTTGGCTATCTTTTTGTAAAGTAGCCGAGTCTTCTCATTTTCCTGTTGGCGTGTTTTATATTTTCCATGTTGATTTGTAGGAATCCGTTATACATGTTAGACACAAGTTCTTTTTCAGATCTGTGTATTTCAAACAGCCTCTCCTACTGTGAGTTGCTTTTTCAGTATCTTAATGATGTTTTGATGAACAAAAGTTTTTAATCTTCATATATTCCAACTTATCATTTTATCCCTTGGTGCTTTTTCTGCCCTTTTTAAGAAATCTTGTCTTTCTAGGGTATTTCACATTTATATCTGCAGTCCACTTGGAATTGGTTTTGGTTAATGGTGTGATAAGAGTTAGATTAATTTTTCCCATAAAATTATCTAATTGACCAAGTAATGTTTATTGAAAAGACCATCCTTCCCCATGCATAGGTTTTTGATGTTTCCATTAAAAGTAACATGTCATTGGCCAGAGCTAGTCAGATGGCTTTGCCTAGCTTTAAGGGGTCAGGGAAGTATAATCCTCCCCTGAGATTAGGAGAAGGAAACTGAAAATATTGGTAAGCACTGTGATGAGTGCACCACAAACTGTAACTTGAGTAGTGTGTACAAGACCAGCAGAGTTTAGGCCAAAGAAAGTAGAGAAAAGGTAATGATGAATATAAGAGGAGAAATTAATGAAAGACAATAGAGAGTATTAATCAAAGATTAAAAATAAAAGGAGAGAGGATAAGTAAACAATATTTGGAATGAAAAATATAGTTAGTAGTGATTTAAATAAACATAAGAGAACATGTTGGACAGACTTAGACTAATACATTATCCAACTTAGATGAAATGTGTAAAAAGTGTTCAATTGTGTGAAGTGGTGCTGACGGATCAAGTAAAATGAGAACTGACCAGAAGTGGTGGGGGGGTTGGCATAGGCTTTAAAGGGAATGGGAGGAAAGAAATTGGAGACTGTGAATACTGATAATTTTCTTGAGGAATTTGCCCCAATGGGAACTAAATGGAGGCACCAACTCGACAAGAATAGTTTTGGAGGAGTGTTAGGGTGACAGCCTGGCTGTAATGGGTTTAAGAGAAAATCAGGAAGGGAGAAAGTGAAAATAGCGAGTATACATGACTCTTGAAATTTTGCTCCAGAGAGATGGGATGATGGCTGGTGGAGAAAGTGGGTCAAAGAAAATGTTTTTCAAATGGGAGAAAAAGAAGTATGTGTACATGCTAATGTGAATGATTGGGCAGAGAGCAAAAATTAATGGTGTAGAAGACAGAAAGGAGAATTGTTGGAAGGATGTCTTTGAATTGGTGAAAGCAAATCTAGTGCCTAAACAGAGGAAGAACAGTCGGCCCTTAACAGGAGCATGACAAATTCCCCTGTGGAAACCAGAAGGAAGGCAGAGTAGGAGGGTGTAGATGCTGGCTGGTGGGTAGAAATGATGGTGGAATCTATGAAATTCTCTTCTGATTGCTTCAGTGTTCTCAGTAAAGGAGAAAGCAAGATTCAACTCAAGTGAGAGTGAGGATGAGGCACGAGGCAGTGGGATTCTGGGGGGAGAGAGGTAAGAAACAGTTACCTAGAGTGACTGGACTATAACATATGGTATGATTGTTGAATAGCATTAAGATCATGAATTTGAAGTGGGGTTCATCAGCATGATTGTGAATTTTTCTTCATCCATGGTGAGTTTACAGGTGCAGCATGAGTAAGCAGAGTTGGATTTAGTCAGACCTGAAGCAAGAAGGGCAAGAGAATGATTATGATTGATCTTAGAATCTACGCTGGAAGAATAGAGGACACATAGGCATGAGGGGCAGTGAAAGGGTGGCCTGATCAGAGGGTTGGAAGACCCAGGGAATTGAAGGGTCATGGTGGCCAAGTACTAGAATGAGCTAGAAGGATAAGAGATGGTGGTCTGAGAGTGGATTGCAGGGGATTGGTTAGAACACTACTCATCCATCCAACCTGGGCTGTAATGAGGCACACTGAGCACAAGGTCATGGTAGGGGAGGAGGTCAGCCAGCCAAGAGGCCTGCGTGGGAAGGATCACCTATGTGAAAGATAAGACAGGAGAGAAGTGAGAATAAGCCAGGAGCTAAAATCTGTGAGAAATGAGGGGGAAATGACATGAGAATGTAGGGCATTAGGTGACCTAAACCGATGAAAGGAGACTTAAAGCTGGATCTGTATTCTAGGGACAAGGTTCATTGCGTAACAACGCCACCTCTGGCTAAATGAGTGGGAAGGGAGGCACCTTTAGAATTTCATATTACTTAATATCACAGAGCCTGCATTACTTTTTTCTTAAAAGTGTTCAGAAGAAGGATACACATATATTAGTTGATCACAAATAAGAAATGCATGTTTTTTAGAATTGGAAAGTGAGTAGTGATCATATTCTTTGAGTTAAGCGTCAAATGTTATTCTCTTTTGGGATCTTTCATTCTGCTTGTGTCCTAGAGTGTGGACTGAAACTACTGAAAAGAGCAAAAATGATTTTAACTTGGGGCTTGAAACATTTTGGCTACAAAAGAAAAATTTTTAAGGGGAATGAGGAGAGCTAATACAAAATCTCAGAAATATCTAATCAACCAGAGGCAGAAAGGCAGAAGGGAGAGTGAGAGAAAGACAAAGATAAAAGAAGAAATATGAGTAAAGAAAGAAGATGGCTTCTTGGGGAGAGTACAATTTAGCCATAAATCTTCACATTATAGAATTGTGAACTGTTTAAATTCTCTGGGAAACAGAAACAGCATGAGGTTTTAAAAGATAAACAATATAAGATGAATGAAGAGAGCCTGTGAATTGTATAGTCTTATTTTTCTTCGACTCCTCAAATAATGTTGTTAGGTTCATACTTGTTTTGAAAGGGATCTCTCATCCTTGACCTGAATTCTTTAAACAAGTGTGTTTGTTTAGTGGCTTAGCATACAGAATTACTGTTCTTCAAGCTAGGCCACCCAGTTTAGAAAGCTGAGCGCCTCAATAAAATGTTACATTCTTAAGACTCAAAAGAATGTTGGCAGACAAGGGAAGGAGATGTACACTTCGTTAATTTCCTCTGTTTCCCATAGAAAGTCCATTAAACTGTTTGCAAAGGACATGGTAAAAAAGCAGCTTTGAGTGATTAACCAAGTAGCTGTTACAACTGCAGTCATCTCTACTACCTCTTAGAAATAGCATATAAATATAGAGAAATAGAGAAAGAATATTTGAGTTACCAGGGTGTGGGTAATGATTTGCCCTGGGGAAGTTAATAATTAGGATTTAGTCATTTTCTACTACTGTAGCACTCGCAGAGCGCAAATACATATTACGGTGCCTGATGAAACTAAGAGGCTAAAGTCTGTGTAAGTTGGGAGGTAGGGCCAGATGGCAGGGGTGACCAGATCACCCAGGGATATACAGAGCCATTACAAAAATGACAATATGGGTCAAAACATGATATAAAACATGCTTATAATATCTAAATGTTAAACATCGAGAATCATTCTAGCCTGAGATAAAAATATTAAGTAATGGAATTAATACTATAGTAAATGAATAAAATTTAATCATGAAAAACTGAAATAATACTATTGGATCTTTTAAAAAATAGTATGATCTTAAAAAACAAACTAAATTGATGTCATTATTGCACTGAGAGCATTGTTTTGGGGCAGAAGTTTCCAGCAGCTTTAAAAACTCAGACTGTACACTAGTAGCAGAATGGTGAACAGTTTTGCTCTAATTTCTAGTATTTTCTTCTCAGTTGTCATTTTTAAATAACTTCTTTTTGATCTTTTTTTCTCTTTAGAAACAACGTTTTTGTTTTGTTACATTACATCCTCACTGTATTCTATGAACTAGATATTATCATTTGCCCCATTTTGCAGATAGGAAAACTGAGGCACAGAAAATAATAAGTAATAAGCTTATGGACACAGAGTAAATGGCAAAGCCAAGAAGTGAACCCAAGTAATCAGACCCTGCAGCTCTTCCTGTTAGACACTGCAGGGTACACTCTGAGTCTTTCAGCCTCAATTTCCTCATCAATAAAATAGGGTCAATAATTTTTACCTCTTGTGGTGGTTGCAAAAATTAAATAAAATGTTCAGCTTGGGCGATGTTGATGCTGTACTTATCTGTTCCTGCATTGTTAGAATGAGCATGCATTATTCATGTATTTTTTAAACAAGAAAAAAATATTAAGGCCCATAAGAGAGCCTGGCACAGAGAGGCACCCAGTAGTCATTATGTCTGAAAGCAAGGTCAGAGTTTCCATTTAACTGAATAGGGATTTGTCACCTCCGGAAGCCTGGGTGTGAAGGGAAGAAATAAGATAGGGGAATAGCTAAAGGAGAATTCAGGTTAGACGTTTTTACTTTCTAGTAGGAGGGGCTTGTACATCCTAAAGTGAGGGGTGGGAACCAGTGGGAGGGAGAGCCCATTGGTTTAGGCAAGTAGGAATTAACCAATGGAGCAGAGTCCTGAGGAATTGGGTAGGAGGGTGGTCCTAGAACACTGGATGAATGAACTTAGTTTGGAGAATATTAACTGTGACTTGTTAGTAGATAAGCCCCACTTTATAAGCTCACTGAGGTAACAAAAATATCAAGATCATTTTGGAAAATGGGAGAGGAATATAAAGAACTCTGGTTTTCTTTCTCTACCTGTTTCTGGCGTTGTAAGAATAGGTTTTCTGAAGAGGAGCCAACAGTTTATTTTTCCATTTGTGGGTCGCAATGGTAAAATGATTGTTGGCAAAAGAACATCTTTTCAAGAGGCTTCCCTTGGTGTAGGTCAGAGGGGCAACAGGAGGAGTTATTTCTGCAGCTGGGAGAAAGATTCAGAGCTGTCTTCCTGGAGCCGGCTCTCATTTCAGAGTCTAAAATAGATATGAAATACTGCGCTATTTGGGAATCGGGGCCTATTCATTCTAAGCACATCTGTTGGTAGCTGTTGAAATTCAAATAAATTCAAATAAAGTCCAAGTAATGCTCATATGACACTTATCGATTTCAAGGAGTGTTAAAAAGCACACAAAAAACCCTACACTCC